GGGAGTGGTCGGCATTGGGGATGCCAGCTGGGAGGCTGGGCGTGCAGGGCAGGGCAGGCTGGGGGAGTGGTCGGCACTGGGGATGCCAGCTGGGATGCCATTGGTTGCCCTCTACTTCCCACCCACAGCCACCCTGGTGCCAATGGGTAGGGCAGAAGGAGGCATTAAAATGGCCGCTAGCTGCCATCTCTGGTGGGAGCCGCTTCCTGGATGCCCCCATCCTCTGCTGGCTGTGTGCACAGGTGAGTTTTGTAGTGGAGAGGGCTTGCAGACAGGAGCAGTTTGGAATTGGAGTCTTGTGCTGCCACAGCAGTGGCTAGCATCAGTACTGGCAAACCCCAGGCTGTGACGTGACCTTGTCTCTGATGCCCCAGGCCATTGGTTCCTTCTAAGAATGGGCAGCATTGGAGCTGGTCCCAGGCAGTCAGTCCAGGGAGGTAGGTCCCTCTGGTTCGTAAGCTTTTTCAGGCAACACCGGGGGCCATCTGGTGCAGCCCTAAGTTCCTTGTCTGAGTGCTGGCCACTTGACTCACATAGGCATGGCCTGGGTGCCTGGTGTGGCACCCTGAGATTGTGGCTCCAAACAGCAGGGCCTTGGCTGGGTCACCATGCTGGTGCTGAGGGTTGCCCTGTGTACCAAGAGCCCAGGACCCTTACCACTCACACCCCGCAGGAGGCCTGGCTTCTGTCTAAGTCTCTCGCTTTGCTCCCTCTGACTTGCCAGTCTCCCTCTGTGCTCTTCCCTCATTTTTTTATGAAGATAGTCATGGGATCTACACAGAGCTCGGTTACTGCTGTTGTGTGTGTGCATGTCCTGGGGCTTGGAACTCAGGATCTGGGTGCTATGGGTTGGCTACAAACCACAATCCTCAGCTCTCAGTCTCTTGGGTAGCTAGGATTACAGGTGTGAGCTGTTGGAACCTGGGTCAGCTGCTTCTTGAATTATCAAATATTTAAGGCCTGAGATTGTGAAGTAAGACAATGCTGTCCCGCCCAGAGATACTAGGACTTGTAAACTGTATTCTTTCAGTAAGGACAGTGCATGATTACCCTGGGGTTAGGCTTTGTGTTTGTGTACATATGCAGTGTGTGGGATGAGTGGACAGGTGACCGTTTGTGTACATGTGTGTGCACGTGTGGGATGAGGACGTGTGTGCAAGTATGATGACATGAATGTCTACATGTGTGCATGTGGGATGAGTGGGGACGTGAACGTGTACATGTGTGTGTGATGGATACGTAAGCATTTGTGTACGTGTGTGCATGTGGATGAGGACACATGAATGTTTGTGTACATGTGTGCACACGGGATGAGTGAGGACATGTGAATGTATACATGTATGCATGTGAGGGGTGAGGACACATGGGTGTACATGCATGGGACCAGGGGTATGTGAGTGTACATGTGTGTGCACGTGGGGATGAGGACACATGCACGTGTACGCGTGTGTACACATGTGGGATGAGTGAGGACACGTGAACGTTTGCATGTGTTGCATACAAGGACATGTGAATGTACGTGTGTGCACTGTGGGATGAGTGAGGACACGGATGTGTACATACGGTGTGCTCACGGGATGACAACACATGAACGTTTGTACATGTGTATGTGGGGGGGGCCATTGAGGACATGAACTTGTGTGTGCACATGGGGATGAGGACGCATGAGTGTGTACATGTGTGCATGTGTGGGATGAGTGAGGACACATGGACGTTTGTGTACATGCGGGGTGTGCTCCGGGGTGTGAGGGGGATGTGAGGACACTTGCGGTGGATCCCCGCGCATGTGTTCTCACACTTGTGTGTGTAGCATGCGTATTCTTGTCCCTGCAAGTGCTCATGTTCCAGCATGGGTGCTTATGTGTGTGGGTGTGTGCAGCTATGAATCGCTATGGAACGCTCATCTAATGTGCACGGCATGCTGGGGAAAGCCCTCTGGCCCTGTAAGGCAGTGTACTGGGAGTGGGGTTGGCCTGAGGATCTCACCTAACTCTCATGTCTCAGAGGCCAGCCTCCAGCACCCGGGCCATCACACCTGGAGTCTGCCCTGCAGTGAGAGGTGTAGGGCACCCTGGCGTGAACCCCGAGGGCCCTGAGGCAGGAGGGACCGGACCCCATGTCTGGAGAGTAGGAGACAACCCTGGCCTGCCCCCGCCAGTCCCCGTACCTCTCCCCCCCCCCGCCTCTGGGCCCCCAGTGCTAGCTCAGGGGGTGTGAGGCCCCTAATCTGCAGAGGGGCTCCAGGTCCGAAGCTGGCACAGGCGCTGCCGGGGCTCGCTCTCCATCCAGTTGAGGCTGGCGCCACTTCCTCCTTGGAGATTCACTGCCCAGCGGCTGCCCCGGGCGGGTGGCCTCTGCCTGTCCCCGATGGCCTCCCACATGACCTCCCCTCCCACATGGCTCCAGAGCCCCAGGGCCAGACAGTCACCTTCCTGTCACTCTACCAGGTTTGGTGAGGCTGGGCCAGACAGCCTGCCTGGCATCAGGTGGGGGCCGGGGTTGGCACACGCCAGGAGAAGTCTGCAGGAGGAGGGTGTGCCTGCATCCCCTCTCTGGAGCCCATCAACTTGCTCAGCATCTGTCCGTGGTCACTTGGCCTTGTTGCTTTGGGCCTGTGATGAGGCAGAATGTGGTGGCAGGGCTTGCAGGTGGACAACACTGAATGTCCTCATGGCCCGTGGGAAACAGGAAGGTGCCAGTCCTAACATCTTCAAGGCCCCGCCTCCAGGGACCTAACTTCCTCTCCCTAGGCCACGCCTCCAGTGATCTACTTCCTCCCCCTAGGCCATGCTTTGGGGACTGAACTTCCCCCTAGGCCACGCCTCCAGGGACCTAACTTCCTCCCCTAGGCCACACCTCCAGGGACCTAGCTTCCTCTCCCTAGGCCACATCTCCCAAGGGTTCTACCTACTCCCAATGCAGCCACAGTGTGGGGACCAAGTCTCCACCAGGAGCTTCTGGGGACACTCTAGATCCAACGTAAGTGACTCCACAGCACTCCCACAAAGGAGCCCGCGTTACCTGGGACCCAGCGTGAGGAGCTCACTTCCGAGCATCTGCTGTTTGGTTCACGGCAGGAGGTGGATGCCAGCAGGTTCTTAGAGGTAAGAGGGCTGTGGGTCCCAGTGAGTCTGGAAGCCGCCATAGAGACTTCCTGCCCCACGGGGTTGGGTCAGCCTGCTGAGCAGCTTGTGCTCCAAGGCATAGTAAAAATCAAAAGCAGCAGGAAACAGCTGTGAGCAGTGCCAAATGGGTAGGTCAGGGAAAGAGCCAGCTACAGCCACCGCCAGGCCAGCAATGAACCCACCCAGTAGACACCAGAGGCTTCACAGGCAGAGGAAACAGACTTTACAGCAAGTCAGAAGCACCAACAACCAGTGAGCCCTGGGGGGCTGGGATGTGGCCAGTATCCAGAAATGCTACATTATCTAAAATGCCGTTTTCAACACGAGACGGCAAGGGTGAACTGTACAATAGGAACAGGCGGCAGAGACTTCAAAGCATCTGTTTAAAAATACTCAACGGGGCTGGGAATGTGGCTTAGTGGTAGAGTGTTTGCCTAGCATGCATGAAGCCCTGGGTTTGATCCTCAGTACCACATGCACAGAAAAGGCCAGAAGTGGCGCTGTGGCTCTTGTAGAGTGCTAGCCTTGAGCAAAGAAGCTCAGGGACAGTGCTCAGGCTCAGATTGTTCAAGCCCCAGGACTGGCAAAAAAACAAAAAACATATCCCTGAATGAAGTCAATAAAAAGCGGAGTTGGATATAAATTCTGATGTATGATATGTGTGGTAAGCCACAGACTGAACAACTTAAAAAGGTAACATACAAACAAACAAAAAACCTCTGAAAGAAGTTCAACCATCCTAGGAAATAGGCACTTAGTTCAAAGGACAAGGGAGAAGGGAGTAAGTCATCAACATTAAGGCTTCAGAGTAGGAGAAATACAGGAACTGAGGGGCTGTCTCACAAGTTGAGCATCTAGCAAATAAGTTTGAGGCCCTGAGTTCAAATCTAGGAAAAAAAAGAATAGTACTTGGAAAAAATACAGGAAATAAGTAAAATGCAGGCATATTAGATTACCCATTCAAAAGACAAACTCATCTGAGACTGCATTAGGGTGCAACCATCTTCCATTTACAGACAGCCTTTAAAGATACAAAAATTATGTACTATGAAAAAAAACAGCAGCCCTAAGAACGCTAAAGTTCTGACACATGCCAGAAAGAAATACCCTTAAGACTTAAAAAAAAAAAAGGCTACTAGGGATAAAGAAGGATATTTTCTGATGAAATCAGGAACAATTCTGAACATATGTACACCTAGCAACAGAGTCCCAAAACATGACACGGCCTGGTAGGGCTGGAGATCAGATGACCTCTCCACAAGGCTGGCTAGCAACTTCCGAGCTCC